GCTGGAATACACGGAACAAATTTTGTCAAGAATTTTCTCTGAAGGTGGCCATGTTCACAGGCTACCACCCATCATCCTTTGCTCTGAAAAGCAAAGGAGTTGGTTGGAAATGGGTTGATTTATAAAACTTCCGCCCAGCCATATGCTGGGTGAATGCCACTCGAACTGCATTCCTGCCACTAGCTGGAGCTGAGGAGCATAGGCATTTCCTATGCTCCTCAACACCATCTAGTGGTGGGAATGCTGTGTGAATGGCAATTGTCCACCATATGGCTGGGTGGACGTTTTATGAATAAACCCTCAAGTGTATGGCAGCTCTTAGTTTAAGGACTGGATGGACAGAAACATAAATCTGGCAGGTAAAACAGTTCCCATATATGAGTACTCATACTCGCCCAAATGCTCCGATGCCTTGCCTGATATTTCCTGTATCAGGAAGCTGGGCAGCGCTTGTGACGAGAGCGCATGGAGCACTTCCCGGCCAATGAGAAAGCTGGGCAGCATGTAATGACTAGCCAATCTGGCCAATCAGGAAGCCGGGTGCCGTGTAATGACGCTGCACCCGGCTTCATGATTGGCCAGGAAGCGAGGGACGAGGGAGCATGGATACGGCTTCCCGGCCAATAAGGAAGCTGGGCGAAGCGTCATTACACGGCGCCGGCTTCTTGATGGGCCAGAAAGCCGGCTTCATGCATTCTTGTCACATAGTGACAAGAAGCATGGGGACGGCTTCCCTGCGAATCGGGAAGCCAGGTGGCGAGTCATTACTCGCCGCCTGGCTTCCTGAATGGGACTTCTGGTACTCGATATTCGGTATTGGTGAGTACCAAAAAAAAGAATATCGGTACTTGTACTCGATATTGAAATACCGGTATCGGTGCATCCGTTGTATTTACCTATTTGCCTGGAGTTCAGCTTTAAAATGTTACAGAAGTTGATTGTTTGAGGAGTTCAGCTTGCGTTTTTTTCACTGGTTGTTAAATGAATATAGAAAGGATGTTTGAAGGAGAAACATGAACATAATTGGCCTAACCACCCCAAAGGAGGAAGCCAAGGACATTTGAGTTGAGCATTCAAATTACAAGTGAAGATCAAAGGGCTAAGCTTCAGTGTGACTCGGATTCGTACATGTTTTCCTGGATTTTTTACTCTCCAACTGATTTCCTTGCCAATGATTTCCCCTGACAAGTGTTACAGATAGTGACTGTGCCAGCTACATTTCCTTGTTTGTCTTTAAAATTGGCCAAAGATCTGGAATGGCAATCTAATATGTTTCCACAGACTGGCTGCCAAAAGATTTTTTCAACTATTCCACAAAAATGTAGAGAATTATTATAGTAGCATCTATGTCATGACTGGAAGACCTGAAATGTAGCTCATTATTACAGTATATCTAAAGCCAAAATGTTTTTTTTTTCTTTTTTCATTTGGATAGAACAGAGAGGGGTTTCAATCCCCGTCAGCCTTAGGTTGCTGTTTTGTGTTCCATTGGGGAGATCTACGCACTACTAGCCAGCACTCAAGGTACTCTAACCCTATCCCCTTTCTTATCTGCCATCAGTACATGGCGAATGCTCCTGTGTTTATGTATTAAGTATTAGCAAGATTTGCATTAAGTAGGGAATGGTTAAAATCTCAGGTTTCTTTGCTGTCTGTGCCCATTGAATAATTTGGGCTATAAACCTCAGATCAGCCCCACTTCTTGTACCTTCAGACTTCAGATCAACCCCAATTTTCTACCTTTAAACATCAGATCAGCCCCAATTCCTGCACCTTTATACCTCAGATCAGCCCCAATTCCTGCACCCTCTAGATCAGTGATTCTCAACCTTTCTAGGGCCGGGGCCACTTGATAACATTTGCCAAGTTGTGGTGACCCCCAATGGAGCGCTGGAAAGAGGCAGGAGGACAGCTGCGGCTGTGAATGGAAAAGCCTTGCTGTAGACACTCTGGCCACTAGATGTCGCTGCAGGAGCCAGGGAGTGTGTATAGCAGCACTTTTATATTCACAGCCTCTGCTGTCCTCCCGCTGACTGACACTGACACTGCTGCGCTAGGAGGAGGCTGGGAAGCCTCTCACCTAGCGCAGCAGAAGTGGATGCTGTGACCCCCTCAACAGTGAGTTGCAACCCACTTTTGGGTCGCGACCCACAGGTTGAAAACCACTGCTCTAGATCTCAGATCAGCCCCAATTCATGCACCTTCAGTTTTCTTTAACTCTTGGCGCTAATGGCTGCCAGCTGGACAATCCACTTCCTGTTGCACACTCAAAGTTTTCAACAGTTTATCACAGTATTCCACACTAGACTTGTGCGCCGTCAAAAAATTTGTTCCGTTTCGTTCCATTTCGTAATATCTATTATTTCGTATTTTCGTTAGTTTCGGCACATTTTCGTAACTTTACGAACATTCGTTATGATGAAGTTAAAAAGCAAAAATACCTTTGTTAATATTGGAGTCGATGTGGTAGTTGTTTTTGTATCCAAAATACGAATTCCGTTTTTCGGACTTAAAAAAAAACTACCATCAACTCCAATATAAATGTACTTTCCTTTTTAACTTCAATATATAACGAATGTTCGTAATGGAACGAAAATACGTCAACGGAATTTCGTATTTCCTGCCTGTATATTGTAATGCAACTCTCAGCAGCAGAAGAGAACCTCTGGTCAACCAAAACGAAATACGAATTCCGTTATCCGAATTTCGTATTTCGGACTTAAAAAAAAACTACCATCAACTCCAATATAAATGTACTTTGCTTTTTAACTTCAATATATAACAAATGTTCATAACGGAATGAAAATATGTCAACGGAATTTCGTATTTCCTGCCTGCATATTGTAATGCAACCCTCAGCAGCAGCGGATCCATATTTCGGATTTAAAAAAATAAATCTTTTCATGTTGTTCAACCTCATTTACAGGGGAAATATTAGTTCCTGTTTCAAAGAAATTCGGATCCGAAATTCGTTATCGGAATTTCGTATTTCGGATATAATTCGGAAACTGCAATTCTGATTTCGTATGCTTACGAAACGAATCGCACATGTCTATTCCACACAGACTTGAGGGGCTGCTCATCCAAGCCTCTGGGGCTTCCACCACAAACATAGAAAACAAAAGGCAACAGAGCGCCACCTCCGTGTGTAAAATCGTTTATTACAATAAATAAAACAAGGGATAAAAGTACTCACAAACAAACATTTTCATCAGGCTTTAACAACAAACGAGAGGCCACACTGTCTGTTAACCCAACATGGTATCGCCCCAACTATGTAACACGGTAGCCTCCAGTCACATCACCGTCCACTGACTGCAGTCAGTCAAGATTGGCGCGTTTCAGGGGCAAGCCCCCTTCATCAGAATCAACCTTCAGACCTCAGATCAGCCCCAATTCCTGCACCTTCAGATCTCAGTTCAGCCCCAATTCCTGCACCTTCAGATCTCAGTTCAGCCCCAATTCCTGCACCTTCAGATCTTAGATCAGCCCCAATTCCTGCACCTTCACACCTCAGATCAGCTCTCACTTCTGCACCTTCAGACCCAGGATCAGCCTCAATTCCTACACTTTCAGACTTCAGATCTGCCCCAATTTCTGCACCTTCAGATCTGAGATCAGCCCCAATTTCTGCACCTTCACACCTCAGATCACCCCCAATTCTTGCACCGTCAGACCTCAGATCAGCCTCAGTTCCTGTACCTTTACACCTCAAATTAGTCCCAATTCCTGCACCTTAACACCTAGTTCAGATCAGCCCCCAACTCTGCACCTTCAGACCTAGGATCAGTCTTAATTCCTACACCTTCAGTATTTAGATCAGCCCCAATTCCTACTCCTCCAGTCTTCAGATCAGCTCCAATTCCTGCACCTTCACACCTCAGGTCATTCCTAATCCCTGCACCTTCACAACTCAGATAAACCCCAATTCTTACACCTTTACACCTCAGACCAGCCCCATTTATTCCACCTCCACTACAGTAGCAGTCAGATCTGGGTAAGTATACATGTGTGGAGGGGGAGAGAGGAATCTGTTAGCTCAGAGAAAAGACTGCAGTGCCCCTTCCCTTGGTGCCCTCAGGATGAAGATATCGATCCACATGTTCTGCTTCCCACCTCTGTTTGATTGTCTCGTATACATTTATGAATTTCCCACCACTTTCTGTTCCGGTAATTATGGTTAAACATCTGATCCCACTCTATCAATTTCGTATGCTTACGAAACGAATCGCACATGTCTATTCCACACAGACTTGAGGGGCTGCTCATCCAAGCCTCTGGGGCTTCCACCACAAACATAGAAAACAAAAGGCAACAGAGCGCCACCTCCGTGTGTAAAATCGTTTATTACAATAAATAAAACAAGGGATAAAAGTACTCACAAACAAACATTTTCATCAGGCTTTAACAACAAACGAGAGGCCACACTGTCTGTTAACCCAACATGGTATCGCCCCAACTATGTAACACGGTAGCCTCCAGTCACATCACCGTCCACTGACTGCAGTCAGTCAAGATTGGCGCGTTTCAGGGGCAAGCCCCCTTCATCAGAATCAACCTTCAGACCTCAGATCAGCCCCAATTCCTGCACCTTCAGATCTCAGTTCAGCCCCAATTCCTGCACCTTCAGATCTTAGATCAGCCCCAATTCCTGCACCTTCACACCTCAGATCAGCTCTCACTTCTGCACCTTCAGACCCAGGATCAGCCTCAATTCCTACACTTTCAGACTTCAGATCTGCCCCAATTTCTGCACCTTCAGATCTGAGATCAGCCCCAATTTCTGCACCTTCACACCTCAGATCACCCCCAATTCTTGCACCGTCAGACCTCAGATCAGCCTCAGTTCCTGTACCTTTACACCTCAAATTAGTCCCAATTCCTGCACCTTAACACCTAGTTCAGATCAGCCCCCAACTCTGCACCTTCAGACCTAGGATCAGTCTTAATTCCTACACCTTCAGTATTTAGATCAGCCCCAATTCCTACTCCTCCAGTCTTCAGATCAGCTCCAATTCCTGCACCTTCACACCTCAGGTCATTCCTAATCCCTGCACCTTCACAACTCAGATAAACCCCAATTCTTACACCTTTACACCTCAGACCAGCCCCATTTATTCCACCTCCACTACAGTAGCAGTCAGATCTGGGTAAGTATACATGTGTGGAGGGGGAGAGAGGAATCTGTTAGCTCAGAGAAAAGACTGCAGTGCCCCTTCCCTTGGTGCCCTCAGGATGAAGATATCGATCCACATGTTCTGCTTCCCACCTCTGTTTGATTGTCTCGTATACATTTATGAATTTCCCACCACTTTCTGTTCCGGTAATTATGGTTAAACATCTGATCCCACTCTATCTAAAAAAAAAAAAAAATGTATAATACATTTTAAAGCATCAGCATTCTTGCTGCACTCCGAACATTCTGTGGCTTTTATGTAAGCTTTTATATATTTCTTTCTTACTTCTCCACAAATCACATGTTTAGATCAGCCGTGTGCTTTATGACACGCTGTGCATGCTTTATGATCAGCATCCATTCTTTTTTTAGCCTGGAGCACTGGAATGTACACAGCACACAGGCCAGATGTGAAAGCATTGTGTCTTGCGGTTAATTCTCTGCAATCATCTGTAATGTACAGTAAGGCACACGTCAGATCAGCCCCAATTCCTGGACTTTCAGAATCTTGAATGTCACTTCAGATCTCGAATGTCATTTTGATGCCAGGTATAGTACCAGGTGATTGGCGGAAAGCGAATGTGGTACCAATACACAAAAAGGGGAAAAAGAAGTACACCTGGTAATTATAGACCAGTCAGCTTCGCATTAATAGCATGTAAAATATCTGAAGGAATAAGGGGCTCTATGCGAGAATTTGCCAATGATCATCGAATGGTATCATAAGTAGCAATCAACATGGCTTCATGAAGGAATGCTCTTGTCAGACCTTTCTACTGACTAGGTGTGTAACAATCACCATAGCGACCCAGGCGGCCACTATGGGGCCCAGGGGCACAGGGGGGCCCGGCCAGGACATCCCCCTGATGCCGTGCGGACCGCCTGGGTCACTATGGAATCTCAGGCTGCCGGCTGTCACTGGTGGCTGTGAGGAGGACGCGCAGCTTTTCTCATATGCAGTGGCGCGTTCCTCCTCACAGGCGCTACTGAGTCGGTGACAACCAGCAGCTTCGGAGGAGGTGGTTGGGCCCGTCGTCGGCAGCGATTGAGGAGGCGGGGACCAGTGATTGAGGAGGTGGGGCCCACAAGGGATCGTGGAGGAGAAGGAGGCGGACAGAGGATCGGAGCAGACAGGTAAGAGGGCTTGACCTCCCACCTGAGACCCTGCAGAGTCCACCATAGAGAGTCTATGGTAGGCTCTGCAGGGTTACCCTCAGGTGGGCTGTTTGGGTTATCAGGTGGGCTTAACTAGAAATCACAGGGCCCCATACAAAATTTTGCTATGGGGCCCTGTGATTTCTAGTTACGCCCCTGCTACTGACATTCTACATGGAAGTCAGTTGTAATATAGACAGAGGAATACCGGTAGACATGGTGTATCTTGACTTTGCTAAAGCATTTGATACAGTACCCAACAAATGTTTAATTCATAAACTAAGATCTATCTCCTTGGATGAAATTGTATGTACATGGGTGGAAAACTGGCTTCAAGAACTGATCCAGAAGGTAGTAATAAATGGTTCATTTTCTAATTGGGCAAACGTTGTGAGTGGGGTGCCCCAGGGTTCGGTCTTGGGACTGATCCTGTTTATCATATTCATAAATGACAAAGAGATTGGAATAAATGGTTCAATCTCGGGTTTTTTACTGATAATACTAAACTATTTAGGGCAGTAACTTCTCAAGAAGACAAATTCCCTTCAACTGGATCTAGATAAAATTGAGGCATGGGCTGAAAGATGGCAAATGTAATTTAATACTGAAAAAAGCAAGGTTATGGGAGCAAAGAAAGTGCATGCAAACTACTACTTAGGGGGTCTGCTGGGGAAGTCATGGAGAAAGACCTGGGGGTCCTCATAGATCACATATTAAGCAATAGTAAGCAATGACAAGCAGCAACCAGCAAAGCAAGCAAGATACTATCCTGCATTAAAAGAGGAATTATGGTGAGGGATAAAAACATAGTGGGTTATTCACAATAATAATGAATAGTGATTAACCCAGCCGAAGTGAAGTGAGCCAAACACTGTTCAGCTAGTCACTTCTGCCTTCAGCTGCCTTCGGCCAGCTGAACATGCTCTGGGCCGAAATGCAGAAGGACTTCGACTCAGCCGATCCAACATCTGGATCGGCTGAGCCGAAGCTCTGGCAGCTCACTCGCTGCCGTTTGCTACTATTCTTATAGGGGCCGAACGGCAGTGATTGAATAGCCGAATTCCGCCGAGCGGGGCCTCCGAGGTACTGAGCAGAATAGAAAAGAAGTGAAACGAATGTGAAAAAAAGTTGCAAAGTTATTTAAAAATGATAAAAAATAGGAAAATTAAAAAAAAGAAAAATATTTTATAGAAAAAAAAAATTGGCATATGGACACCCTCCTAATGCCGAGGGCACTGGCCTGGTAAGGCGCAGGGAGGGGAGGGACGCTCGATCGTCCCCCCCTTTCCTGCCCTGCTGGCCACTGCTCGGATCAAGGGTCTGGTAGGACTGTTAGGGGGGACCCCACGTTTTCACCCCCCATTTTTTGGGGCTGGGGTTCCCCCTTAAAATTCCTTCCAGACCTAAAGGGTCTGGAAGGATTTTGGGGGGAGCCCCACACACTTTTTTTTGTGTTTTAACTTGAGGGGGTTCCTCCTAAAATTCCTACCAGACCTAAAGGGTCTGGTATGAATTGG